CAAACAACAGAGCTGAAGACAGACAGCTACCTCCAGCTCTTGTTCCACACTGGCCATGGAGACAGGAGGCTTTAGCTACAGTTCCGACAAGGAGCAAGTAGGATCAGTGCATGCCGTGACCTTTGGATGTGTCAAAGATAGATACATGCTCAGCTGTGTTGGACACGGTTTGACTGCTGCAGGGAACATCACAGGTTCCAAGTGTTATTAATGAGGAAAACAATATGTACTGTCAAGGTTTGCTACATGAAGTTAGCGTGAAAACAAAGCCCACTCCAGAGAACAAATGAAATTTACTGGATTAGTCTCTTGTTCCAGCTTTCCTGATAAATAGCACTGAACTCAACACCACATTGATTAGTTGGTTCAAGACAAACACTGATCAGATTGCCTTGGCAAGTATATATAGCACTACACAAGCACAATCACCCTTGTCTATTCAGAGTAGCAAGGATTCCCTATACTTTCATTTCCCTTCCCTCTATCTTTCCCAGCCTAGACAGCATGTCTGCACTATTTAAAAGCCCTATGTTAAAATGCTTTTCCCTTCTCCTTCTCTTGCATTTTCCTACTAGACACAGTCAAAGCCCCTGTTCTGAAGAAACAGAACCAAACTGTGCAAATGCTGCAGAGTCCCAGAAGGCCCCACATTTCAGTGCAAGCTGACCCACATCATGGTTTTCTCCTCTACATCAGTAGGGTTTTTCCTTTATCTTATCTAGTACCTCAAATATGCATCCCCAGCATAACAGTCAGCTCTGAGTGAGAAACCGCTCTGGAGAACCACTGTGCCCTAAACAGTCTGTCACGTTACAGAAAGAATGGGTGGGAACCACTGAAGATGGGGGATTCCAGTAAGAGTCAGAAAGGCTAAAAATACAGCATACACAATCATTGCTGCATTTGTGTTCTTCACTTTGTTTCTGATCATCTCGAAAGATATCAGAGAGAAAGGATCTTACACCATTTCACTCTGCTTTTATGCTACAAACAACTTCCAGCAACTTGAAGTTCATCTCCTTTAGACCTTGTCCTTTTTCTTTTTAAATGCACTTTTGCAGAGCCACAAATTCTGCCAGATCTTCAGAAAATTCTAATTTCAGTGATCCTCCCAAGGTCTCTTTCCCTCCTTGGATCTATCTTTCATCTGAATTGAATTGTTTTTACCATAAGAAAAATACGCCCTCATAACTCATCCTTTACCCAATTAACTCAGCTTTGTTTTCCTTCCTTCTGGTGTATTACAATGAAATCATCAGCAAAACCAAATAGAGCAGTGTAGGATATACAGAAAAACTTATATTTTTTTTGTTTGTTTATTTTTTAAATCTGATCAATAGCTTTTCAAACATCTTTCTTGTTCTATCAGGAGATGTAACTTTTCTAACAGACACCACCACCATGTTGGTTTACCAGAACTGCCACTTCACAGAGCAGCAGGAAGTCACCTCAGCGCTGTGTGCCTTCCCTTACTACCACACTGACCACATCCTCCCAACACTGGCATGTGTAAAATGTTCACAGACAAGAGCTAATACTGCTACCTGTATAACATGCAACATTGAGATTTAACCCGAATTGTATTTGTTATCCTTTTTGAGAAAATATTACACCAGCAAAGTGCATCTTTCAGTCACATGCTTGACCATGTTTTCTTTTAGAAAATGATGGGGTGTTGCTTACGCATCAGTTTTTTGGTAGGCGTGTTAAAGGGCTAAAAAGTATCATTTTAGTTACGTCTTGCAGCAGATGAGAAGCAGAATACTGGTTTCTTGTTTAAATGTAAGCTATGACTCATCCTGGGCACAGATAAACTGAAACACATACCCATTAAATAAAAAGCACAAACAATTTTCCAATGTGAGGATTAATGACAGATAATAACTATAAATTAACTTTAATCTCTTATAACAAACAAAGCCCCTTATATAAATGTCACTGCAATCTTTTCAGATAAAAACAACGAATGAAAGTAAGAAGAAAAGTCATTTAAATATTATCAGCTAATATTTGGTACCAAATCAAACAGCTCCTTAGCAGAACCACTGGAGTGTTCATGAAATATTTCAAGACTAAGAAAAGGAGTGGTACTTAAAACACCACTTTAATTTTTAAAAACACAATTCTAGTTATTTTTTGACATTAAAGGAGTTCAAGATTCTTAATCCTGACACATTAAAACATCATCAGATCCGCAATACTGAGTCCAAGTTAAATCACATATTCAAAAGGGAGGAGGAGAGCATTTTGTTTTTCTACTATTCTCTTGCTCAAAAGAAACTCTGTGTAATCGTTGAATGGGTTAAACCAAAATTTAACTGAACATAAGGAGGCTGCTGTTCACAGACAAGAAGCGAAAAACCAGAGTCAGAGACCTAATAGTGGACAATTTTGAAAATTATAGTGTGTGTCAATAATGGAGATAACAGTGAGATTCAAAAGGAATAATCTCAAATAATAGGGAAAATGAGCACCTGTCAGCCACAAAGCCATTAGTATCAGGGCTTTTATATTTGCAACAGTTAATTCTGGAGACACTGACAAACTTAACAACACAGCAAATCAAATATGATGAAAATCTAACCAGGAAGTAATCCCCCTCACTCAGAAAACACTGCTGTGGAGTTTGAAAATAAATGCTTCCAGTATGAAACTTGCAGTCCAAATCATTGGTAATGAACACTGCAAACACAGCAAAGGCACTGCAGAGTCTAGCTGGGTTTGCAGATGTGAGTAGCTGATGAAGCCATAGCATCTGCATTAAGGGACAGATAATCCCAAACCAGGAACAATGGACTCCTGAACAAAGTTCCCAGATACAGGAGTCTGGCTGTACAGACCACCCAACGTGATCAAATGTGTGCCCTTCCCAGAAGGATGAAAACCAAAGGCTTGTAAAACCACGTCTGAGACACAGACCTGGAATACAGTGCCTCAGAATGGGAGGGCCTGGAAGAAAAGACCTTGTTAAGAACGCTGATGGTTAGAAATCTTCAGCTGGGAGCAGGTGGGGACTAGGGAGCATGAATCAGACAAACAGAGAGGAAGAAAGAGCTATTACACCAACCAAGAATGGGAGAACAAATTCTGCAGCAAGCATCTTGCCAGCATTCAGAAAAAGGTGGCATAAGGGGAAGCACAGGTAATAACACTCCTCTCACTAGTAACACTTGTAATGGTGTGCTGGTCAACAGTAAATCCTCATGATATCCCCACCTCAGGTAGCATTACTGTCCTCAGTTAAAGACAGGGAAACAAGGTAGAAACTTCCTCAACTCCCACGGATAGCTGGTATCAGCCATATCCCAACCCCATCAATACATGCCAGTCCTTAGCTGGACAGTAAGTATGATTGCTGAGATCTCACCCACAGAGCGTCTGAAGCTTCGCTGGCTGCCCCACAGGCCTGAGGCTAGAAATGGATGATCACATATCCATGCAAACTTGGCCAATGTAAAAGGACCAGGCTGGCAGAGGGAAAGATGGAGACAGTTCTGCTCTAAAGCTGTTCTGAGTGTAAGCAGCATTTGCAATAACAATTAGATATGCAAATAAGCACATTGAAGATTAGTGACGGTTTACTGTTGTCATGGAGAAAAAAGCACCTTCAATTCTGGGTCAGACCCAAAGACTGCATTTTCTTTCCCTCAGTGGTAAATATAACCAGATAGTGCACTGGAAAACGCAGGAGCCAACACTCCTCAACACAGCTCAACCTGGGACTGGAGAGGCTGAGACTCGTAGGAGCTACAGGGAGTAACATAACCCAAACAAAAAGCCTCCCTGCATCAACCCAGAAAGACCGGACCATGACAACTCTGTAGATACTCAAAACTACCAGGAGGTAGAAGCACAGGCTGGAAGAAAACACCCACACCATGCAAAGGCCAAGCTGCTTCCTAGCAATGCTGCTGCCAGGGGAGGCAGATGTGGGGGAAACTGAGGGCAACACAATTCATAAGGTATTCAGCTCCAATTCCCTTGAAGCCACATGGGAAGATCTTGTCTGAATGAAATAACACACTTGGCTCAAAGCCTCTGTGTGTCTTTGGCCATCCTCATAGTCCTCCCATCCCTTGTTAAATGATGGCTGCTAAGAGAGAAGAGGAGGCAATCAGCCTATTTAGACTCAGCTTTCCTTCCCACCCTGGGGGTTTCTTCATAGGAGCAGCTGGCCAGAGCACTGCCTTTGTTACAGCAGCCACAAAAAACACAGACACCCACCCTCAGCCCCCCTAAAATCCCACAGAAGAGCCAAGATAAGTTTATAATGGAAACCCTGACATAACTTTAACTAGAGCATCCTGAATGGAAGGCGATAATCTGATCTGTGTGTGAACTAGCTCCCCTTGCCTCAATGGTATTTATCTTACTTTAACTCCTGTTACAAAAGGGTTGAGTCATATAGCAGAGCCAGCCAAGTAACAAAACTGCAGGGCTTGCTAAAACGTCAGATTCAAGGATAAACAGGCACAATTCTAAAACAGGTTAGAAGAGTCTCTGCAGAAGCACTGGTAGCCAGACCTCGGAGCCTCTGGACAATGGTATTTTCTTCTGCGTTGCAGAGACTATCACAGCCCAGTGAGGGTGTGGGGGGAGAGGGTGCAGAGCACAGGGCTCTGCCCTTTGGTTCATGGTAACACATATTACCCAGGGCCCAAGAAACCTGATCCCGTAGCAACCTCATGTATGGAAAGTGCCCCAATCAGATTTCACTGTGTCAGGAGAAGAACAGTATTTACTCTGCATACAGATTAGTCACAAAACTGGGTCACTTCTTGCCTTTTCAGAGAGAGGAAAAAAAACCAAACCCACAACCAAAAACAAAGCTTCTTTTTCAGATCTTTTTGTGTCTTCCCCCCAACTTTTAAAACTACGTGATGCAGTGTGGTCATTCGCAGCTGCCAAAGCTGATCAAATGGCACCTGCATGGATAAGGTTAAAGCACATTACACTCACCAGGCTTGCATTTCTTAGAATTCGGCTCATTAGCTACTTACCGGTTCTTTTCTAGTTCGTTGTGCGTAGACCTGGAAGATAAACAAAAATTTGGATTAGCCACCTTTGACCTCTGAGCACCAAAGTTCAACTGCAGCAAGCTGTACACATCTCCAGTCACACACTGCAGCAGAAAGTCAGCCAACTACATACATTAAAATCTACAGCTATAACCTCATCCTCCCTGTTGACAAGAAATTCCCCCCCTCCAGTGCAAAAGCTGGTACTTTTACTGGTGCTACAGAAAATGTTCCCTTGAGACTTCAACACACAAAAAATCCCAAAGAGAGGCAATGATTAGAACAGAAGGCCAGAGTCTGCCACTTCTAGAATCCTTCTGGCCCTTCAACCAACTCACTACAGGACTGCAGTTACGTTTCTTTGTGCTTTAGTTTCTCCATTCACCCTGTAAAAATACCGGTATCATCTGCTAACACAGGAGCTCACAGAGCATTAATTTGTGCCCATCAAATACACGGGAACCTTCCAGCAGAACTGGCTCTGTAAGGACAGCCCCTGGAACCCTTCAGCCATCACAGGCCAGATTTAGCCAACTTAGCAGACCCAGATATGGCCAGGAATTGGGCACGAAATGGGATGGCCAGCACTGGTCATGTTTGCAAACATCAGCGGCCCTGAGTAGCACTTTTAGGATGCCTGGAAACCCCTCAGGGATGGAAACAGCACTGCCACAGCCCTAGTATGTAGTGAAGTGACCCATAAAGTGGCACTGTGACCACTTGACAAAGGAGGGGCCTTTGTCTTTATACCTGCCCACCGAGCCAAGCATGCTGCCAGCACTCCCTGATTCAGAGCTTGCAGCTTGAAAACAAAACCAACTAGAAACAAAAGGAAAACAGGCAAGTTCATTCTCCTTGCTCTGTGATGACAGCATGAGTGGCAAAAAAAGCTTAAATCCATTCAGGATTTCTAATCTAAGCCAGGTAAGGTTGTTGAGGATTATTTAAAAGGATAGCCATTTATCCAACATTTCTCTTTAACAGAAGGTCACCTTAAAATAAGAGTAAAAAGAGCCCAAGAGCTTAATAAAAAGGATCTATTTTCTCTAATTTGGCATCACATTTCTTCCGGAGCTCTGAGAAGATTATCCTCTATCCCCCATCTGGAGAATCCCACAGAGAATTCTACAATTAGGGAACTGAATGGAGGATGTGCTCCAAGGGAAACCCTGTCATAATTAAATGCTTCTCCAAAAAAAGGAAGGAGGAGTGCCTAACAGGTGTTAGAACCTAATTGAAAATGACGAATAAACTGTAGATGTCTGCAAAAATCAAGGTAAATGAGTTTTAGCTGACCATGGCTGAGAGCTGTGGGTGGCCAGAGGAAAAACAAAACGCTACCGTATGTCTGTGCAAGCTACCCAGAGCAGCAGGATATGGGACACCCCAAAGGCAAGGTACACTACAGGCAAACTCTTCATGTTCAGGAAACTCCCCAAAACAGTGGATGCCTTAAATCTGGTTCCCAGGAATCAGAAACACGAACACAATGTTTAGTCCAGAAAATCTCCCAAATTAAACCCACACCGCCCCCAGAGTCTAAACCAGCAAAATCCATTTATCCAGGCAACCTGGATCCAAATTAACCCACCAGGGCTGAGCTGAGGCCCTTTAAAGCCACTGCCTGTATGTACTTTGGAACATGCTTATTGTTCTTATTTACTGTATGTTCCTGCAGGAGACTTTGCACTCTTCCTAGCTATGACATTAGCAGTTATAAGGCCAGAGATATGCAATGGCTTGAATTCCTATATTATACCGAGCCAATTATCAAGGCCAGCACTGAAAGAACAAAGTTTGGCCCACTGCTGTGAACAAAATTAAAACAGCAGGTTCTCCTTACTCCTCTCACACAGGAGACTCTTTATTACCTATCTGCCTTCTGATGAACAAGACAACTGAGAGAGGTCACAGGCTTTTCACCAAGTCAGGAAATGTATGCTGGGACTTTTAACCATGTCTGTGGCATGGAAAAAACCCAAAACTCAACCCCCCCCCAACATCTTCACACTGAAGCTGAATGCAAACAAAAGAATCTCAGCAATGTTGAATGAATCCTACAGGGAGGCTGCTTCCCTTACCTGCCTATGCTTTGCTTAGTGTAACTGGGGACCATTTGGAAAAGTTGTAATTTTCTGTTTCATCTGGATTTAGGAAAAAAGCCCAGCACCACTTCCCACTACCAACATTCACTAATTTATATTTTTTGTGAGTTTCCCTTTGCTTGGACAACACCTAAAGAAAAAAACTCCTCTCTCTTCTGTTCATAATTCATTTCATTTTCTATAGGTCCCGATCTAAAGACTAGTTTTCTCCCCTTGTCTTTGGGCTGCACGTGTTACTAAGATTTATTTGGAATTAAACAAGGACAGTGCTGTCAGTGAAATGGAAAAAAAGTACAGGAACCTCTACTGATACTGCATTTAAAAAAAAAAAATAAAGTCTTTTAAATAGGTGCAGAAACAAATGTAACTGGACCTCTTCAACTGAGCTGGTCTTATCATCAACTGAGAACCTGGTGAGTATCACCAGACTGAAATCAAAGCCTCATCCCTGTACGCCATCGCCAGCTTCTTGATGGGTACATGATGAACACCACAGCTGTGAACTGTTGCCAAAGCTCAGGGAACATTTCAGTGCTACTTTTAACACTCTGGGTTTACAGCAGTGAGAAACCTGTGCAGTTCAGTGTGATGCTGCTGCTGACAGTCAGCCACAGCCTGTGTCACCCAGTGACATGAGGACACCCCTGTCGAGCATGGACCACAAACCAGAGGAACTCACATCCCCTCTGTCAGGCAGACACGGCAAGCAGGACCTTGCCCCCACCTGCAAAGTTGAAACCAGAGTCATGCAGGCACAGACATGTTCAGAGGGGGAAACAAAAGCCCAAGCACATGTACTGGCACTGCTAAAACGTCAGCTGCAATTTATAAGTAGCTCAAGCACAAAACGTCTGCGGGGTTCTCATTTAGAACTCAGGTTTCTATAGCAGTCAATAAATTTAAAACAGCCAAACTGATAACTGCCCATAAAAACTGAAGGAATGTTGTATAAGGAGAAGGATCCTGTTCACTGCATTTTGAAAACAGCTTGGGAAAAGATTAAGAAAAAGTTTTAGAAGCTTAAGATAAAGGAGCCAGGCAAACAACAACAAAAACAGCAAATCAGTCCCCCCCCCTTTTTTTTAAACAACAAAAAGTTAAAAGGGGACAAACGCAAGTTTACTCCAATTCACCTCAGATACCTGAAACTGCATACAAAATAGGAAGAAAGCGGGACGCAGCAATTGTCAGTCGTTCTAATTTAAGGTCAGATGCAGCAACTTTTCTGCACCAGTTACAGTGATTCTGCCTGCAACCTCGCTATCCAACACAGTAACAAGGTGTTGCTGAAACATTAACCTACAGCAAAGTCCCCCAGAGAATGAGACACTGCAAGTAATTTGCCACTTTATCCCATCTTCTTTATTTAAGTAAAATCTCTCCTACCATGACAGGGGAGGCCAAACTTTCCCCGAGCACAGGTAAGCCAACAAAACAAACTGCATCAGGGAGGAACAAGCTCTAAAGAGCACTGAATTAATTTGTCACTGAGGTTTTTACTGTAATTAAAATCACAAAGCTGCCACATGACATTAAACATAGCTGACCTTTCTGGTTTACTTATTTATTATTGATAAATATCCCAATGTATGCATTTGCAGAATACCTGCATTTTGGTTTGTCTTCTCAGTGAGGTAACTACACAGCAATCGAGAGCCCTTGTCCTATGTGGTACACAGATGGCACTTAGATCCAATGATCCTGTCATCCCTCTCGAACCTGGTCACCTTCTGGCCTGGATCTGGCACCAGCTCCTGGCTCCAGAGGAGTCCAGGACTCCAAGACCTACATCTCCATCACAACAGATACACTGGTATCTCACGAAGTGCTGCTGGCCACGAGGGGCCTCTTCCAATACATGTCCTTAATGCCAACACAACACCAGTGCTTCTCCTCCAAATTCACTCATCCCACTCTGCTTTATCAAGAATTTAATCAGGAAAGCAATATTCCACCAGCTTGTGTAAATTAAGGCACAGTTACCCAAATCATGTTTAGAAAAACAACAAGAACATCCATCTGCAGACCTGGCTTTCTGTCTTACTTCACTCAGGTTCAGCTACTTCTCCTGCTTGTGCAACATCACACCACATACAACTGCATTCTTCTTCATTTTACAGACCTTTCCCGCCTCATGGCTCTGCTGACACCCATTCACTGGGCCACTAAATTCCCCTGAAAAAAATGCCTTCTTCCGTTGCCCAAGGCAAGAACAACCAACCCTTCTGGAACCAGTGAACAATATTACTGCTCTCTTTTATGCAAGTTCTTCCTCAGAAATGGTTCCTTTTGGAAACAGCCAAATGACAAAACAAAACAAATAAAAGAAGGGTGATCAACAGCTTTTTTAAATTTTAAATCCACTTGTGTCCACAAAACAGAACTTACTGGCTTGAAGAACCCCAGTGTTTTGCCACGGTTTCAAGCGGACCAACACCATAAAGAGACTATGAAACCAATGCTGAAGTCAGCCTGGGAAGTCCACAAAGAAGCTCCACCAGCATCATGTGAGGCTTCCAGCCTAATGGCAAGACAAACAATGGCTGCACAAGAGTTAAATCCTCCTGCCCAGATAGAGACGCTCAAGGGCTGAGTTTCTAAGGGAACTGTGAACCCAACTCATCTTTGAAAGGCCCAGGAGTCTGGCCCTCAGAGAGCTGCAGGGAAGCCTTGGGGACACAGCAACTTATGGTACACAATCCTGCCATGAGGAGCAGGATGCAGCTGAACAGAAGATGGCACAGCCGGAGCAGGAGTCCTTCTGCTGCCTTCCTTATGCCCTTTGCGAGTAGCAGTCTCAAGTCTAACAAGAACATCACCTCAGCCTTTCATACCATCAAATCTAACAAAACATTTCCTTCCAAGCAATACCAGAGACAAAAGTTATCTTAAGCCATTACTATCTCA